ATGAAAATACTAGTAATTTATTTAAAAAAAAAGAAAAGAAATTTTTTTAATATAAAGACAAAGTTTAATATATTTGTTAAAATATTTCTCCCTGTTTATCTTTCGTCTTATACATCATTTTGATACAAATAAATGTCTGTACTTTGTATTATTATAAAAAGTGATTTTGTCTAGATCATATTAGTATCACTTGCTCTGTAGTTATAAAAGAGAAATATATAAAGTTGATATTAAATACCGAAACAAATGTGAAACACGATTTTTAAATTTTTCACTATGAATTGAATAGTGAATTTAAGTAGAATAAATTTGATTTGTTAAAAATTGCTTGAAAACTGTTTTACGAAGCACTACATTTTAATTTACACAAGTATTAAAAATATAAGCTTCAAGTACATATCATAAATAAATTAATTCTAGAATAATAAATGTTTTCCTTCTGTTGTTTAAATCGCTTGACTTTCTTAAAGCCTTCAATTTTTGAAGAATCATTTTATACGTGCTCGTCAAAATTGTATACCTTATCTTCGAATTTTTTTAGCACCGGTACAAAGATAACAGGTTAAAATGCTAAATTTTAAAAAACGACGAAGGAATGTACCGCTGCTCGCATTCAGTTGTATTCTGTTGTTTGGAAATTGTTTCGCACGAGATTGATCTAAAAATACATTATACGATGCACAATGAATTATTCCATAAAGTTATGCGAACCTGCGTGAAAATCATCTTTCCACGAATTCAACATTTTACGGGTTCACAATTTCATACCGGTTAGCTATTCTGTAAATACAAATGTTTTATTTGACTTAAATAATTGCTCGCGCAACAAATGCACGGATACGTGAAAACGATCGAACTAGCTGTGTGAAGCACGCCCTTTCGCTTTTCCGTAGAAATTTTTGCACCAGAAAATATGTACAAACATTTCAAACGTGTATTATATAGCAAACTAATAAATTAAACGAGTTAAGAAAAAAGTTTGTTAATTAGAAATGTTTAATTAAAGTAATGCACCTTCCTTTATTCGATAAAACGCGTCTAAGCGTGTCTCATGATTAAACCACCTCGAAACGTATAACATCATATGCTTACGCGATAACAGTATATAGTATGCATATCCCGATTGATAGCATCAGGTAAATTACTAAACGTGCATGCCTCGCATAACGACAAGCGTTTTCTGCAGAATCAACAGGTCAAACCAGAATCAAGTCTTTTCTTGCCATTGTGCCAGTCGAGCAATACGTGCTCGAAGGTGCATTGCAAGCAGAAAAGAAAAAAAATAATCATTCTTAGCGATGCCATCGTGTTAGAGAGGCTTTGAATCGAATCGTGGTAATTCACCGAATGCTTTTCAAGCGATGCCTTTTTATCCGTGCATTAACACACGCTGCTTGGCTGTACACAGACGACCAAATGAAGTTCGTTGAACATTTCATGAAAATCGACGCGGCGCCAAATGAGTTCGACGGTCGCGCAATTAAAAACTTATAATCATTCCTTTACCGTCATTCGAAAGAACCCTCGTGAAGCATCGTGTCGAAGCGCATCGCTATCTTCATTTACCCGTGTCATGCACCCTCTCCTTTCCATACAAACCACTCTATACCCCCTCCATTGCTCTCATCCCCATTCTCCCCACCACTTTCCTATAGCTCACCCGCGCACTCAGTCACAGCACATTTTCTCTCCCTCTCGCCTGTTTCTCTCTACCTCTCCTCTTGTGTTCCCCCCGCCCTTTTCGCCTCGCACTCACAATGCATCCCCTGTTGCCTCTCCCGGATCCTGGCTATCTTTGCTTTTTCCGCACTCCACCCAAAACAACAAACGAAAAAAAGGAAAAAAAAAGAAAGAACAGAAGCGATACGTTCGAACGAGGGAGTGAAAGAAGCAGCGGCTATGAGATTATTTTCTTACGTCATCCAAAGATCAGCGGTAGCGGATAGAATCTCAATAGGCTAGAACAAATCGAACGCGTATGTACCCCTTGCGTGTTATGTCATGCTCCTTCTTGCTAGTTCATTGCTGATAGTGGCCACGGCCGCGGTCATCCCCTTTCCTTTCCGTGGCCATGCCTCCCTCAAGCAATGAGAGACCAGTTGAGGGCACAGAGAGGAGATGTGTTTCGCGACGCATTCGCGGGGCACGTGAACCACCGTTGAAAAGGACAGCAGCGACAGCGAGAGACGATGATGTCGAGCGAACGAACATGCGAGTGCCGAGTTAGAGAAAGACAGAGGTGCTTGGGGCGGAGGAGGCTGAGAGAGAGAAAGAAAGAGACCGATAGAAGGAGAAGAAGAACTGTACGCGTCTCTGTCTCTGTCTCTCTCTGTCTCCTTTCGTCGCGCACCAAACCGATCGGCGATGTGTAGCCGCGTGCGCCACTACGATGGCCGATCGAGAAAAGCAACTAAGAAGACGATGACAACTACTACAACGACGACGACGAAGACGAGAAAGAAAACGTGGCCTCTCGTCAAACCCACGTCGACGACGCTTGACGTCGGGGCTGCTCTGAGCGTCGCGGCGCTCACACATCGGCTCACTGAGCTCGAGGTAGGCGACACCGCCGGAACGGAGGATCGCGGCTACGGCCGACAAGGACCGAGAGAGCAAGCCGAGCTTTCCAGATGCTGTTGCGCACGCGCTGTCGCACCACATACCGTCGTTGAATCAATTTTTAGCTGTTGAAATTTCCGTTGGATTTTGAATCGATCGTTTTTCGTTTGACAACGCTTTAGTTTCGTCAGTTTTTTTTTTCTGTTTGCTTTGGAAAATATCATTCGACATACGGTCTTCGACATGTTGTTTATACTGTAAATAATTATCAACCCCAGACTTGATCTCAAGATCTCACAATTAGTTGGAGCATATTTATTGAGTAGTAATTTCTGGGGATGTACACCGAATAAGTTTTAATTTTGTTTTTCTTATATAAGTTTTTCCTGATAATAATGTACATTGTTAATATTTGACGTTGATTACTTGGCAAAAAGGATTATACCTATAGTTAATATATATGTACTTTAAAAAACTGCTAATGTGTTAATATTTTAAAATTTTATTAAAAAAATACGTTGCTTTCATATTTTTTTTTTATTATACACGATCAATTTAACACACATGTACTGTATAGTAAAACATCAATGTTTTTTATACGAAGAAAGATAATTTATTTTATTTTTCAGCATAATGTACAGTTATACCTTTAGGAATTTTGTTTGTAAAAAGTAAAATTTTCAGAGGTACTTCTCTATATGCATTTCTATTCTAATCAAATATTTGGACTGTATTCCTCTATTAGATATGTAAAGTAGTAATAATTAAAATTTAACAAAGTTATATAATTTTGTATCGTTTTATAATTGTTGAAATAGTTACAGAACACTTCATTTTATTAAATATTACAAGTTTTATGCAGTTCCGTGTGTTATGTACTTCTGAGGGCGATATCAAAAAACTCATATCTATAGCTTTTTCGTATTGTTTTTATCCAGAATCACAGATGATTTTCAACTTCATTAAGTTTTATTTTATGATGGCAATAGAATTCTTCCAGGAGACCATTTTGACTAAGAACATTCAATCGAAACATGAAAATAGTCGTACGTGTGTATATTTGCAAACTCCCATGTTTGCAATTACCTAATTGCTGGATTCTGATTGGGCCCTTCTGCGGAGGAGGGATGGTGGTGTTCTCGGTTCATGATTTGCGCGCTACACGTTTGACGGGTCTCCATTGGCTGGGTTACCTGAAAGACCGACGAATCAGCCATTCATTTCTAAACCCTTGCTGCTTTTAACCCTCCGAAGAACGCCAAGTATCGAAGTTTTACTATTCGAAGTTATCAATGTGAAAGATAATCTATAACATCGTTGGGTAGCTTACATGTGTCGGTAATAATAAAGATTGGTCAATGGAAAAAACTGAAAGAATAAACTTATTCCCGTTCTCAAGTGAAATATAATAGATGAGAGCTTGGTAACAGTGGGGTATAAAGGACGCGCTCTCGTGGTGGCTGTACTAAACGCCAGTGTCAATATGGCCGTTGCCGAGAGCGCAGTATGTGGAGAGACACGGTCGCGATAGTTTGTTCGGTCTCTACTATGAGGTACACTTTGGTAGGGAAAAACGTTTTTACATAATACTAACAAGTTATTGAAAATTTCAACAAAATGAATA